GTGCCTCCCTAAGTTACAGGCCCAGGAACAATGTAGAGAATGTAGAGTTGTCCTCTTTTCTGTAAATGTTTTGCTATCTTCCTACATCCTATTTATATTATAGTTGAATAAGAGCTCTGGATTAATGATATTTTTGCCAACTCTAAGATGATTGCTTAGTTTTTATTCTTTTCCCCTCCAAGGAGGAGGGCTGATTTGTGTGTGTGTGTGTGTGTGTGTGTGTGTGTGTGTGTGTGTGTGTGTGCGCGCGTGCGTGCGCTAGGATTACAACACAAGATTTTTTTAAAAAACACCCTGTCAGGGCAAGTCTGAGCTAAGAAGAGAACTCAGCATTATTCACAGAACTTTTTTTATTTTATCTTTTTTTTGTGTGAAAATACTGTACAGAGGAGTTACAATTACATGGGCAAGATAATGAGTACATTTCTTATCAAGAATTGTAGCCTCCTCCTTTGTTTCCCCTTCCCATCCTTTCCCATCCACCCCCACACCCCCAGTAATCCTCCCTGCCCCCCCCACCAAAGTTGTAAAGTTCGTTTTCGACATAACGACTTGTACATCTCATTGTTGCAATGGGTCCACCTGTATCCCTATTTAAACGATTTGTTTTTCCCCTTCCCCTCCACAAATTATACCGACATCAAATACAGTGAAAGCAAGGGTTATACTGTGGGGGAGGGACATACAAAGCAACAAAGAAATAATGTTATAAATGTGTTAGAAACAATCACATGAAAGAAAAAAACATTTGAATACATATATTAGGGTTCATTTCCCTAACATCAACTTATCTGACCTTTTCTGCTTGACTCAGACATATACTAGATATTGCAAATAAGGGAAACCATGGGACCTATGTTTCTTTGGGCCTGGCTTACTTCACTTAATATAATTTTTCCAAGCCTTTCCATTTCCTAACAAATGGGGCAATATCATTCTTTCTGATGGAGGTATAGAATTCCATTGTGTATATATACCACATTTTACTCACAGAATTTTTTTAATTCCTCAGATATCAAGTCATTGAGGAAAATGCACACCCAGATATTTTAAAATAAGAATTAATTTCTGCCTAGAGCAAAATTTCTGTTGGTAGCAATAAGGATAATAATTTAGTTATTATTTTCTACTTACCAATAAAGTAAACTATCATTTCTTAATGAATGTGGAGATGAGTACATGTGAACTGATGTGTGGTGGATGAATTATAAAATGGGTTGGCTATTTAGCAGTTAATTTACTGCTACTCTACTTTTAATTTAAGTGGGACCTATCAAATACAAAACTAAATTCTACTTTTACTTTTTAGATACTTTGTGGATGTTTTATTTAGCTAAATATAAACAACTTGAAGAAAGCTAAGACTATTTTATTTATATTTTTATGTTTATGTATACAGGAAAGCCTGCTTTATGCACTTGGTTTTAACTAAGCTTGAGCAAAAAAAAAAAAAAAGAAATTCTAAAATTAAAAGAATTTTTTCAAGCAAATTTTAAATGTTCATGGCCACACTGGCAGAGCTTAATTGATGGGGAGAAACTCTTAGGCTGTCCTTCTTGTCAGTTGTGTTTAGGTTGTTGTGTGGTCTGCTTGATTGTTTCCATACCCTTCATTTCGTGCAGTTCTGCCTTCCCAAAGCAGCCGTGCCCCGCAAAACAAGATAAAAGTGAATGTGCTTCATTGAAGTAGTAAGTGAAAAACTGAGATTTATGGAAAGGCAGCAGGCATGTTTTTTAGCAGAAAATGGGCAGCACAGGCCTTGTGGTAAAAATGAATAAAACGTGTTTGGTACTGGAGTGAGCTCTGAATCCTGAGGATGCAGTTTTCTCACAGTGGTGATCTCCTGGGAGCCACATGCCTGACAAGACAGCGTGTCTCTGGTGCATTGGGTAAGATCTGTCCTTGAGGAAAACAGGCATGTCAATGGTCTTGTGTATCTTTTCTCTCAACTACAATATGGACTTAATAGTCAACTCTTAAGTGAGAGTATTCTGAACATTCCATCTCATGACTTTAAGGCTAGGAGAGCTATACACAACAATTGGTACATAAATGCTCTGTGCCTTAAAAAGCTATCCTTACTTTTTGTAGATGGAGAGAAGTCTGTAGTAATGAATCAGATATTTATGGCTTAGCCTATGCTAATCAGTCTCTAGAACACCATTCTGATGCTATGTGGTGAATAGTTAGCTTTTTAGCAGAGGGATACTGGTGAATGTTTTGAAACCATCATAAAAAATAAAGGAAAACAAATGAGATTTATGTAAATATAATTTAACCTGTGTTTTAGTAAGGGCTTTATGTTTATAAAACCAAAGCAAGATGGTATTGTCAAAGGTATTTAACCCTTCAACTATGCACCCGAGGAATTCATTTAGCATGTAAAATTTTTCATCCCTTGGTTGCTAGAAGTTCAAAATTGCAATTTTCTTAGCAAATATGAAAGCAGTGTCTCCTGTTGTACATTAACTTAAATTGTGTCAGCTCATTTTTTTTCTGTTAGTATCAAATAGTAAAGTATTCATGTGTAATCATGGTATATTCACCACTGTAATAAAGGAATCTCTGTGTACTTGAAAGTTGCTAAATTATGATATTTTCTGTAATTACACCCTTGCTCTTATGTGTGTAAAATATTCAAATTAATCTGTACAACCATATAATTAAGCAATGTAGCAGAGTAGAATACTGTGGGTCATGATCAGAACTTAGGATTTTATCAATTCTTTTCTGGAAATATTTTCTAACCAACAATCTTTTAATTGCTGTATTCAGAATATTAGTTGCAAGAAATGTCTGCGAAATGAGGAAGTAGAAATTATAGTTTTCATTCTAAAAAGAAATAATAAATAGGACACAAAGATTTTAGGATCAAGTAAGATTATGGTAGTTGAAAATGATAGTTAAGCCAGGAGCTGGTAAAACCAGAGTGCAGCTGTGGCTCAAAGTGGTAGAACACCAGCCTTGAGCAAAAGAGCTCAAGGAGAGTGCCCAGATCCTGAGTTCAAGCCCCACAACCACCACCAACAACAAAGTTAAAAATTATATGTTGCAACTCCTTAAAGATAATGCAAATAAATGGTGTTGATGAACAAAAACAAATTACATGTGAAGTGAAATGTTGAGGCAAAGGTACTATCAGGCACAGGTTTAAGTTGTTAGAATAAGTTCATTTGATGTCATTTTGAAAAGAAGAATGTGAATTAGCCAAGAGAGTGGCAGAAATAAGCAGAATAGCTCAGGTATTTATGTAGAAGAGCAGGTGTCTGTCTGACTACTACAGAGGTTATACAGTTGGCTTTTGAATATGACTGCCTTTTTGAATACATCTTTAAGTTTATAAAGGCTCTTTAGCATGATAAACAGATAGGAATTCAAAATTCTTTTTCTACTCATTAGGATTCTCACTTCAGTAGATTCACTTTCTTCCTAACCTCTAGTGATGAGTAAGAAGGTCAGATTTACAGTTCAGTCATGAAATTGAACACTACTAATCTATGTACAATGATTGGTACATAATGAGTTCTAAACAAGAATTAGTCTTCTTTTTATATCATCAGTGACACCACACTAGTAAGGAAATTTGTTAAGTTGCATTATTCCTTTTTAAGATGAAATGCAAGTAGATCAAAAAAGTTAAGAATATGTTGTTGTGTGTGATCAGTCATTGTCTAGGAATGTGTTTGAAAAGATCAAAACTGGTACAAGGGTTCTGTAGAGCTCTAGCTATTTCTTATGCCATCTGCTGTGCTAAATGGATATAGCTATGTAATTGTTGATAAATGGACACAACTAGGTTAAACAATGGACTAAGGTCTGATTTATGAGGAAGATGTAACAGTCATGTGAAAGAAAACCAATGCAGTAGAGCTATAAAAAGATTAGGGGGTCAATAGCTAGATCACTAGTTTTGTTTTTATTGCTGAAATTATGATTTGTTATTCAGCATTGAGCCCAGAAGCTCTATGCCCTTAAATACAAAGTAGCCCTTGCCAATCTGAGAGGTGTTCTCTAGTTCAGCATCACCCCAACAAAGGGAGAAAAGGAATCACATGGCAAGAAGCACCCTGCAGTTGTTATTATCCAGGTTATTTGGTTTCTCACATTTTTCAATGGAGAAAGGGATAAGAGTCAGGTAGATGAGAGTCACCTTTTGATTTGATGCTGAACACTGTGCATATATAATCATACTGTACTCAACTTGCGACGGGTAGCATTAAAATTGAGTCTTAGCAGAAGTGAAGTAACTAGTTTAAATGGCTTGTAATAGTTTAAATAGCTAATTGGAGACCAGGTCTCCACCTCTGGGAGGCTCAGGCTTAACTGCCAAGAGTGAGTAAGCCACTAGGAAAGAATGTGCATTGCAGCTACAGTTCACATAATGATTTTGAATACCTGAAGTTCTGATGTTCACTTGGTAGATTTTGCTTTCTTGATTCATTCACCTATTTCTGTATTAAACACTTCCCTATAATATGTTGCTGTCTACTTAATCACTACTTCTTCAGAATTATTAGTCACCTACAAACACTTTTGATGGGCAGTAGGTAGATAAATAGGTAATAAATCCAAGTGAACACCTTACCATCATTCTGAATAAGACCTGTTGTCACTTTGTAAACAGTCTTAAAAATCCTGGAATGGCAATTAAATCTGAATTGTTTCGTTAAATTGAAGTTTGGTCACTAAAACAGAACTATTACCTTATGACTGATAGGAAGATATCTCTGGAAAGACAAAGGAATTTTTCCCCAGAATAGGTTTGTTTGTTTATATCTTGGTCAAAATAAGCCTATGATTTGAGTACCTGAAACATCAAGCTTTGTATATCTGAACGTATTCGATGAAACCATAATCTTGGAAAGGGTAATTGTAAACAAATCAACACCTTGAAGAAGGCCTCTTGACACTCCTATTTGGCGAAATTTATGTTGTCCCAGATTTTACCCTTTAAATACTTTAATAACATTCCTTTATCTTTGCCTCTTTCTCTAAAACAGATCCATATCCAGAGAACTGAAGGATGTGACCACATGACCTGTTCACAGTGTAACACTAATTTTTGTTATCGATGTGGAGAGAGATACCGTCAACTCCGGTTTTTTGGAGACCACACATCAAACCTCAGTATATTTGGATGCAAATATCGCTACCTCCCAGAGAGACCTCATTTAAGGAGATTAGTGCGAGGGTCAGTCTGTGGTGAGTGTCTGACATGCATTCAGGAATCTTATAGTGATGATAGAATGAAGTCATGATAACAGACCTTTTCTGAGTCATGAACATTTCCTGAGTCCTTCTTGCCTGTTGGGTGTTGTAGTACAGGCTTTGCCCCAAAGCCTAAGGGTGATGATGTACTCTCCCTTTGTGATCAAATCAGAAACATAAGCTTATGAACAAGGCAGTACTGATACTGAACTAGAAACTAAAGATAAGTAAATCAGATTCCATTTGATAACTGATAACTGAATTATCAGTTACATTGCAGAAATTTGAAGTCATTAGCCTTTTCTGATGCTCTGGGTGCAGACCACAGGATAATGGGGACTCCATCCCTAATTGGTAATGTTCTTACTATTTTTGTGTGGATAATAACTAGCAGGATTTCTTCTACACATTTCCCAGTCATGAAGTATATGCAGTAATATAGAGGGAACAGGAGCTAGAAATAAGAAAACACATACCATTCAAACTCTGAAATAGAGTTCCACTCCACCTAGAAAACTGACATCACAGTATGTTTTCCATTATATTTGCAATAATAGCCAGCATCTAATGTAATACGTATTTTAAGAAAATCCTTTGTAGTCATCCAAATATGAATACTTTTATGGACTTATTTTTTAACCTATCTGTCCCAATACATAACCCTACACACACACACACACACACACACACACACACACACACACACACACTAAACACAGATGTCTGCATATAACCAACTCACTGTGGCCTAATGCCACTGGATGAGCATCCTGACCTAATATGGCTTCTTCCATGAGCTCCCTGCACCTCTACAAAATAACCACTGTACGATTTCCTCCTCTCTTTCTACCATTCAGTGCTCCATTCTTCCTTTGTCTGGTAGTCTTTCTCACATGTATCAAGTACTAACATCTTGGAAACTTACCCTTTCTACCTACTGTGGCCAAGTGAATGAAAATTTCTGTATGGCTCCTTCCCATTATGATTCCTCTGGAATCATAAGGGCTCCACATAGAACAAAGCTGGTGCAAATCTAGATATACTACCTGTAGGTTGTGTGCAAGTACAACTTATGATAATCGATACTGGAATAAAATTTTAAGAATTGCAATACTAGATATATAAATTTTTCTGCTATAGAAAATGGGGTTTTAAAAGAAGTCCTAAGTGCTCATCAGGAGACTAGCAGTTCATGGCTAATCTAAGCAAAAATTAGTGAAATTCCATCTGAAAAAAGTACCCTAGGCATGCTGGTTCAGATTTGTATGCCCAGCGACTCAAGAATCATAGGAAGAAGGATCATGATCTGAAGCTGGTCAATAATACAAAACTCTACCTGAAAAAAAATAACTAAAGGCCATGGGTGTGGCACAAAGGGTATAGCACCTGACTAGTAAGCATCAGTCCCTGAGTTCAAATCCCATTACTGAAACAAAGGACTTTTTAATGGATCTAGTAATAAAAGTAAGTGTGCTTACTCACTCAAAACAGTTACTTAATCTGGCCTGTACCCATAGCAGTGTCCCAGGCCTTATGTTAGCATATCAAATATAAATTATGTTATTGTAATAAGTTTATTCATTACTGCAGTGAAAAAACATGTTCCTTGCATTGATAATGATTGTAAAGAAAGTATGAGTGAATAGACTGAGCTATGTGTGCAGGAAAAAAACATTCGTTTTTAAAATGTACAGTCCTAAATATCATACTCTAAACTCTTAGCATAAATCCTGGGATATATAAAGATAATTGCTTAGTGGGACTTAATATTATTTAACTGGATTCTGTCATTGGTTTACAAAAAACAAGGAAAACTCAGAATTAAGCATTTGTTAAATTAGTAATATCTAAATTAATTAGATAGTAAAACTGCCTTTCTAAATTAGATACTCCAAATAGTATTTTATCTATGTTTCTTCATCTGATTCCGAAGACTTTCCAAAGAATTTAATAGTAGTATTTCTCTGACAAACTTCCAAGAAGGAAGTGGCTGCATTGTGCTTCTACTTTGTATGTAATTTCTGATTCCTGATGACTGTTTTAACAGATTACCATTGCTATTTGATTCTTAATCAGCTGTGTGATTTTACTGCATTTCTCTTCCTACCTCCATCTCTGGTTGCCTATGAGCTCTGCATCATCCAGCTGTGTCACATGCTATGGGGTTGCTGTTGAACAACAAGATATGAATGTCCAGCCTCATTCTGTGTGTGCTAGTGTGGATTTCTATTGTACTTACATTATTGTGTTTATCATTACTGATCAATATTCATTGATAATGAATACGTAAATGCAGGCTAATGCTGCCAATTGTGACATCTCTTTTTAGAAGGGCTTCCGTTTTAAGTTTGTTAAAACGACTTGCTTGAATAACTTGCAACACATTATTTATTCATAGGTAATTTTCTCTAACAGTAGCCTTGAAGCATCACCATTGTAGTTCATTCTGTGTGATGGTTAATTTTTCTGCAATCCAGGAAGTGAATGTAGCATTGTTTTAGAAGTGTGCCTGGACGGAAGACCTTGTATAGGCTCTTCTTGCTCCAGCTTTTTGAGCTAGCTTGTTTAGCTTCTGCACACTCAGACCTGTCACTGCCTTCATCTTTCAGAAAAATACAACAGACCAAGGAAAAACAGAAAGATCAATGGTAAAATAAAATTAACCAATCACAACAAATTAGAATGTTTTGGTTATAAAGAGTTCTTGCTGAGCATTTGTGTAATTTACATGAACTCCAATGATTAATTTGCATGTGTATGTCTGTCTATAGCTGATATATTTGTTTAGAAATGTGGCCTTCATTACAATCAGATAGCTTAAGCAGTAGTATACACTGTGTCATTTAAAAGCATCATTATATTTATAAATCGATTGGTAGAACATAACCCCTTTGTTCAACTACTTAAAGGTAATAAAAATATCACTTTTAAAGAATATCACTAATTGTTCAATAAATTACTTTTGAGACTTTAAAAAATTATTTTTCCTTTTATTTTCCAGCTGGAAAATTATTCATTGCACCTCTAATCCTGGTTTTGGGATTAGCACTAGGGGCCATAGCAGTTGTAATTGGTAAGAAACGCTTATCTGAAATTTCAAGTTTCTAGTAACACTGGACAATCTGAGCTTAAATGTAATTGTGTAAATCAGCTATTAAGTGAGCATGATGTTTGCACTAATTCTGCTCTAGATCACTATTATGTGTGGTTTATACATTCAGAGGGGCATGTTCGTTCTGAGATATATCCATCTATGTACTTATAAGGTATGATTATCACACCTTCAATAACAAGCATGATAGTGAAAGATTTAAATGAACTAGAACCCAATTTCTCAATTTTGGATCTAGGTTGGAATATCTAAGAAAATAAGCTCTGGTACAGGCTACTGCAACCTGGGTGTTTGATTTACTCCAGTGAAATATTATCTGAGTAAAAATAATGCCTCAATGTACCAAACATATACCTAAGCATGGACAAAAAGAAAAACTATCAATATTTATATACATACAATATTTGTATACATACAAATTACATATTTTTATAGTAGTAGGTCTCACAATTTAGCATGCTTTAGAAGATTCAGACTAGTTGATTAAAATACACATGACTGGTTTCACACCCATTTTCTGATTTAGTATAAAGTTGGGGCCTGAGGATTTATATTACTAAAAAAGTTCCCAGGTACTACTGATGTTGCTGGCCCAAAGACCACACATTGAGAATCCTTGGTAGAAAATGGTAAATTATATGCTGTTCATAAAGGCTGCTTTGATTATTGTTTGATAGATGAAGGTTTTTCTGAATAAAAAGGTTTTTCACATATAAACATTTTAGCAGGTAATGCATGTGCAAGACAGATGGAATTATCAAGTACTGGGCATCTGAGTTATTACAATGTTCCAGGACTATAAAATAGCATTGCCTGTATTGCATAGTTGAGGAAATTGAGGTTGACTGGAACCTTATTAAGTGGTGAAACTGGGAATCAAACCTGATATTTGGTGCCATAGCCTATGTTCCTAAGGAAGATGCTGTACTGCCTGAAACTGAAGTGTGAATATCACAGTGTGCAAATGGTATGACTGTGAATAATATTTGCACATAAGGTTTGATATTTTGAGAGAAAGCATTCCATATTTAAACTTGTATCACTGAATGTTGAAAGTGGGGGGGGGGAGGGGACAGAGCTAAAGGCAATGATATAGAACGAAGCCTTACAAAAAATAAACACGTCATAGTGCAAGTCCTTTTTCCTTATGTGCATGCTTTGCTAAGTGATGATTTTGTAAAGAGTTTACAAATACCTAAGTTCCAAATATATGCATTTACATGTCTGTTCCCCTCATTGCCCTTATTTTTTGTCTATCCCTAGGTTTATTTGTATTTCCTATATATTGCCTTTGTAAAAAGCAGAGAAAACGCTCACGGACAGGTATGCACTGGTAGGATGCAGGTGACTTCACCCAACTCAAGTTAGTCCAGCAGGAGCTGAACAGGATGGAACACCGCCTGTGAGTCATGTCTGGAAGAACAGCGAGAGGACCTTCCGCCATCTCGTCTCCCTGTGGTTCTCTGCAGGCCACGAGCCTCTAGCTACGGTGCACTCCCAACATGGTATCCTGGCCTTTACCTAAACAAATTGCTGCTTTTCAAAAATGGTCACTTTCATAAACTATAAACATCTGTATGGTAACTGACATTCATGGTTCTTGGAAGAAAATAGTTTTCCTTAAGAACTGTTGCTCTGAGGACACCTCTCCTGAGTATTGCTGGGACTGTATGAGAGACTTGTGAATATCCGAAGTCCTATGAATCCCAACAAGCAAGGCCACTTTTCAGAGCATGCAAGTTTACCACGTGTACCAATGTTCAACTGTGGCCCAAGCAAGATACGACCTTTGGGTACGGCCATTGGTAAAGTTGTCAATGCACAGGGAAGGGAAATAAGGAGAGTCTTGCGTTACTGACGTGTGTGTGGGTAGGGGTATGAATGTGTGTATATATAAATATATATTAAAGCTAGGCCCCATAGCCTTGTGCTTATCTATTTCCATGTCTCTATACTATTTTTCCACATTTTCACAGACCTATTTAGAGAGGATGATTACTTTGTGGGTGTAATTTGGTAATATATTGAATTAATATCATTGTAGAAAACAGGCTGTTTTGATATTGACCCTTTCTGTTTCTTGCTGTCTTTTCTTGTCACCTACACAGGCATTTGTGCAATGTCACCCCAAATCATATCAAGCTTTGTAAACTGACAAAACCAATAGAATGCTTTTAGGAAATTCTTACGTCCCAAATACTCAATTTTTATGGATTTCTTGTGTATTGGCATCCATGTTTCACTCTGTGGATAAATGTTTCACGTAGGATTATTTAATCCAAAGAGCTAGTTTTGCCGTAATGGGAGCAAATCTTTGATTCAGTTTTAATTAGCAATGTGTAATTATAGACAATTCTCTAGGTCATTTCAATTATTTAACTCCTGCCCTTTTCTCTAGTTCTGTTTTTTTATTGGTCCTCAAGTTTTTCCTAAAAACAAATACTAGTTTTCTTATACTTTCTGCTTGTATACATAATAATTTGTTGGTATCTCCTTTAGAGGCTTAATTTGAAATGAAATGTTTTGCATCTAAAATATAAACTGTTTTGGAGAAAGGCAACAAAACAACAAAAATATTTTCAGAAAGTTTTTCTAAGATGTGAAGTCCATGAAAATAAGGAGAATTTCACTTGTCTCAGAATTCACAAAATTAGTGATCTGCCACAAATGAAGCATTTGACAACAACACTGTCTGAGTTGAAACAGATTATGTGATAAAACATGCATTCACATAGAGAACTCATCTTGATGGGGCATAGAGTATAAGAACATACATCCTTTTTTTGCTTGACCTGATAGAGTCCACAATGGTGAAGGTTACTTGCATGAGTAAGAAGCCAACATGTGTGTATCCTTTCTGAATAACAGAATAGCTGTATAGTTTAGACTAAGCAGTCTACGTCCAGTTAGAGGAGGGTATGATAGCTGTAGCTATTCTAGAATAGCATCACTCTACAATCACCTCAGACAAAAATGATGCTTTGTTTTTACAAAGTGATCTTTCCTTCCATCCATTGGTTTTAAAGGTATTTATCAACTATTTCCTTCAGGTTCTCTAGCATTAGAACAAAAGAATGAGAATTTCTAGCCCAAATACATGCTTCTGTAATAAAATAGTGATTTGTTTTTGGAGAAAAATTCATCTTTCCTGGACTTAGGCATCAGTTTGGCAAAGCATGAATATCATGGTTTTGTATATGTGTGCATATATATGCATATATACATGCATATACATATATGCCAACTGGATAAACAATATGCTCTCTGGTTTTAGATCATGTGTTTTCCTAAGTTACTGTATCTGTTGTCTTCTGCCTACTCAGGGATTTTTATTCCTTTCTTTAAATAACTTATCTTTTAAAAGTATTTTTATATGATTTGGAAAACTTTCCAATATGACCGTTACAATGATGTCAGTGAAAGCTGTTTCATCAATGATTGGGAGAGTATGCACTGTATTACACAGGATTCTCATTTTTCTATTGCATAGTTTTTTAAATAAATGTATACATTTTTCTCTTTAAAGGTTGAAGTATATGAAGCATTTCCTTGCTGGTAACTCAAAGTAATTGGTGAATTTTTTTTGTACTAAGTTTCAAGATCTTAAAAAGAGAGAAGAAAATTAAGAGGATAATTTATATGTCAGTGCTAACTTTGAAGGTAAACAGTAGTATAATCTTTAGGATAAATTCTGAAAATTACATTGGAGAAAGAAATGTGCATATTCAATAACTATCTTTGTATTGGAGACTTGTCATTTTTATATATATTATAGTGTAAGTTTAATATATACTCCTTTAAAAATCCCACAGTTATAAAATACAGATTCCTCTGCTTTCTCCACCCCTTATTTTATAGGGATGACTACTATTGATGGTTTGATGTCCTTCCAGATGCTTTCTGCAAACCTATAAGGAAGTATATGTGTGTGCACATGCACCTGTGTATATTAGTTTTTTTTACAAATAGAATAATTTTACTTTCCTGTGACTTTCTCATTTTATTAAATGTTGGTGAATACCTTCCCATATGAATTTATATAGATGTATCTCATTCTTTTGTAAATTCCTACATTTTCTGTTGTAGGGCTGTACTTTAATGACAGTCTTTCACTCAATGGATATATCTTTTTCACTTATCTATTACAAGGAATTCATCAGTACAGACATTTTGAATATATTTTTGCCATCTTGAATAAACATTGCCATAAGTTTTTAAATTTTGTTTTTATTAGATATTTGTACTAAAATTTTTTATACATTTTCAGGAAATGAGATCATAGTAATAATATATTTGAGACCCTTTTTTGAAATGTAAGAAGATTGTGCAAGAGTGCATAATTTTTAAATCAAATCATATTTTGAAGGACAATTTCCTCCATTTGATTAGCCAAATAACTACCTTGCCAAACTTTAGAAGAGAAAATTAATCTTTTTCCAATAAAAGTAGAATGTCAGATAATGTGAAAAAGACAAATTAATCCTGAGGTTGCCTCGTTTAAAACCAGAGTGATTTAAATGAATAACTCAAGCCAAATTCATGACATTTGTCACAGTTTTTAAACACTGTGCACATTCATGCATGTTGCTGCACAGAGGAAGTTAGTTCTATCATTGTGAACAAGAGGAAACAGTATGGTAGCAATTACATACACCCACAATAATCTATAAAGAGATGAATTAAATTCATAAGGTTTGTTGGAATGATTATACATTGCATAATAATATGAAACACATTTTACAGTTAATTACAGCAGTTGTCTTGGCATTACATTAAGAAGAAGAAAGTGGGGGGGAGACCTGTGGTACAAGCAATATACCATTGCCACCACCTTGATTTTCCAATAGGTGCTATTGTATCCTAAGAATAGAACAGGCAGGAAAATAATAAAAGATAATTAAACGCCAGTCACATTGCAGCGTAGTATCTTTGCTTATATTTTCTCTGCCATGGGATCAAGATTCAATGATGTCTGTGAGGAAGAACTTCCTTGCTCTGCCACGCATCTCTTCAGTCCCAAGGCCTTCATCATTCAGCCACATGACCCAGTGCTTCCACAAAATACACTTGCAGTCTTTCTCCATCCCTTCATCCCTCCCTATTTCGGTTTTCTCTACACTTCTGCTGTTCAAACTACTCTTCATCCAAAGAGAAGAGAAAGAGAAGAGATACCAGGGGAAGAAAATCTCACTGTGGCCTGTTCATAGCGTCTGAATTCCTTCCTGTCTTTGGTCAAATTTAAATACAGCTGCCCACACATTGACTCAGCTTCTGTCTCTTCACACAAAGGTACTTGTCTTTACATGAGACTTTTGTGATGCTCATTGTCATAGTTTTAAATTTTTAAGGGTCTAAATAACATTAGTTTCTTTGAGTACACTAAAAAATCAGTGCCAAAAGTCATTTTAGATTTTTGTTTCATGAGCAAGCAACACTTAGGCATCAACATGAATCCTCACATTCAGTCTTTTGATTTGATCCACGCACTGAGTCATGTGCTTATCCTTTCTTGCCTGTAGCAAGAATAGTTTGTCCCAACTATTTAAATTAATTTTCTTATATTCAGCTTTATTGTTTTGTGTTAACTAATAAACACAGCCTTAAAGATTCTATAGTGCACTTTAAAACATGGTGCCATTTTAAATAATTCAACAAAGTTAAGTAATTTAATAAAAGTAAAACAACTTATATGTATATTTCAAGGGAAAGGACAAATTAACTAGGTTAACAAATACATGTCAACTCTTTAAACCTATGGAGAATTGGAAGCTAAAACATTTAGGCAAGTCAAATACGCCTGAAAAAAAAAAAAAAATATATATATATATATATATGTTAGTTTCTGAAGTTATAGTTAATTCTGGAAATTTATTACCAATAATTTTGCTATGTTTGGAGCTGAAATATAGCACATAACACTTCATAAATGTTATCTAATAATCTAATTAGAATGTTATTTAGAATATCAAGTTAAATTTTTTTTTGTTGGTAATAGGGCCTGAACTCTGGGCCTGCGCGCTGTCTCTGAGCTCTTCTGCTCAAGTCTAGAGCTCTACCACTTGAGCCACAGTGCCACTTCTAGCTTTTTCTGCTTATGTGGTGCTGAGGAATCGAACCCAGGGCCTCATGTATGCCAGGCAAGCACTCTACCACTGAGCCACCTTCCCAGCCCTAGAATGTCAAGTTAATTTTACAGAAAGTTTTAATTCCATTTTCATAGCTTATGAATTCTACAAAAGAACATTTTCTTACAAGAGACATGGTAAATTAAAACAATTGCATTATATTTTGATTTTCAAATCATTATAATTCAGACATTTTTCTCCTGTGATGGAAATTAAATTCTCAGATCACATATTAATATCTGTATCTACATCCATTACTTCTATGAAACAAATCATTTTATAGAGACGACAAAGTGTGATCTGAAAAAAAAGCAGAATTACAAACTTTACAAAGTGTTTAAGATTGTGAAATGCTATTTTATTTTTATACAAACCAATGAAACAGACCTTTAAGAGACAAATGTAAATGCTGTTGAGAATAGAGCTAATACTGATGTTGTAGACGCATGTTGTGTAGGCTTCTATGTGCATTACTGTTGTGAAGCTAAACTGGAGTTGTCTCGATCCAGATCCAATAAACAGAGTCACGGTAGTATGTGGCTATTATAATTGTCCTTTTGGAACATTATCTAAAGCCTTAATATATCACATACCTAATGGGTCTTTATACGTATTGCCACTTTCAGAAGCATGTGATTATGCATATAACAAACTATTATTTTTTCTTTTGGCTAAGCAAGTGACTGTTTGAAGAATCACCATATGGACTTAAAGTGTAATAAATTATTTTAAACATTGCCACTACCCTCTTCTCTGGCCATTTCCTTACGTTTCTAAAAGAAATTTTCATCAGTTGTAATGAATTCCATGTGTGTACACATAGTCACATGATAAAACTTTTTTTACTGTGTGCCATGCATCTTCTCAGTCTGCTCCATCAGAGACATTAAATTATTTTCTTTCCTCTCTGTGCAGTGCTGCCCTCCTGTTTCAATATCACATGCCTGTGTTTCTGATGTTTCTGGAATATGTTGCTTTTCACCTCAACTCAGTAGTACCTTCCCACCTTGTGGAATAAATTGTCTCACTATTCAATCCTCTCATTCTAATGAAATGAAATGCAACAACACTACATGGTCTCTGAAACTTATCTCTGATGGTGAACATAACTTATTTTTGTTTATTTGGTCTATAAGTTGAATATGTCAGGAATGCCTAGGACACTTTTTTCTCTTCTGGATAGAAGTTGTGGAGCTCTGCCTAGCTCTCTTGCCAATGAGTAAGTAATGTGAATGATAAAATGTCAGTTGGACCAGTGGGCTTAATACTTCTCTAGAACTAAAGTTGCTGTGAGACTAATGTAAGATCAGTATTTTGGCTGTACATTAGTGGGATAGAAAAATGTAGGGACACTTATCCAACCTGACCCAAAGGAATTTATTCTCTATCCAAAATGGGTTATGATTATGGTTATTGGCCTTCATTTCAGCAAAAAAGTCTTAACAGTTTGGACTGAGGTGTAGTTATGTAGTGTAGCATTTGTACAGAAATTTCCATTATGGATTTATACTCTGAAGTTATTAGACTTTCCGATAATCTGAAGTAGATCACCTTGAATGTCACTGATATTAACTCTAGCCTAGAGAAACCATTTGTCATTTGCAAATATTCACCTTTCTATTGACATGATTTAGCCATAAACCACATTCAAGATACATGTAGTATCACTTTAGTGTACAATTTTAAAAAATCACCAACAAGCAAGAAATGGTGGAAATAATGTCACTTGAGGTTCTTTTTTGTAGCAGCAAGCTGTTGTATCATGGTTCCTTGTTAATTTTTGAGATGGTTACAGTATGTCCAAGCTAAGTACATATTCTCAATAATCCATTCAATTTCTTTACAGTCATGGTTTTTCATTAACATTACTTTCTTGACATTCAAATGTGTGTTATTTCTTTTTAAGCAAATAGTACCTAAATATCTAAAATCTATACTAAATTTTTTAATCTACAGAAAGTGAATATGCTGTAACTACAAATTATTTTAAAGGCCCATTTTTTAAAAAACAGTTCCATATAATAACCCCTCAATAGCTAACATTTATTATTTGACTATTTTCTTTCCAATTGAAATTTTTTTTTTTTTTTTTTGTCAGTCGTGGGGCTTGAACTCTGGGCCTGGGCGCTGTCCCTCAGCTCTTCAGCTCAAGGCGAGCGCTCTACCACTTGAGCTACAGCGCCACTTCCGGTTTTCTGGTGGTTTATTGGAGATAGGAGTCTCACGGTCTCTCCTGCCCGGGCTGGCCTTGAACCGCGATCCTCAGATCTCAGCCTCCTGAGTAGCTAGGATTACAGGCATGAGCCACCAGTGCCCGGCTCCAATTGAAATTTTATAGAAAAGTTTTTAATAGACCAACTTCATATTTCAGATGACATCTAGAACAATAATGCACACATAGACATATAACTTTATCTTGATAAGAATACTCTATTACAAATTTTTAACATGAAAATTAGACTATGAAAATTAATTGACTATTATGATTGGTCTTACTTATGTAAGATAATTATTCACATAGTAACAAATAGTCAATTCTGCAAGATCACAGAAATAATCTTATGTAGAGGAAATACAAATATTGTGTCATTAAATGATATTAAGTTAAATTAACCCATTTATTGAGAAATCATGAGTTATTTCTATTTTAAACAAGATTGAAAAGACATTTTCATGAGACAAATACACATGTCTAGTGCAATTCTCTTTCTTACACAGAGTATGCAATTCTAAAAAGAAATAAGCCTCTAAGCTCCTATTACTGAAAACTGAAGTTCTGAAGAATAATGATCATATTTTATTGAAATATTAGAAAATATCCCATGTTAGTTATTATATTCTCAGTAACAAAATCAAATAAGGAGACATTTCTTAATTTTAAGATGAATAACTTGGTCTAGTATGTAGCAGATCTTGTTCATTTCATTATATTTCTTAAAGTTTTCTGTAAAATGTCTAGCCATTTTCCAAATATGTTACAATATTTTCCTTTTTCAGAATGAGTCTGCTTGAAAAGAAGTTTCTTGTTATTTTTTTACCCACCCCTGCATTTTGTTAGTTATACTATCAACTGATATTCATACAATTAGTCGGAAGAAAACATTTTGAGTATATTGTAGGAAATAGGCAGGTAGAAATAAAATATGGAAATAGAAAATGCCCTCAAAAGAAACTGGACTGTAACAAATTGTGCTGAGATGAAAATGTTAGAAAACAAGGAGTATTTTAAAAGACTTAATTTCTTACATTTTTAAAAGCAGTCAACCTATTTTCTAGCAATTATTTCATGTCATGAGTTTCACAGGTTGGGCATAGTGACAATTTCCTCACCATTTTCATGTTGCTGCGGTAATAACTGAAAAGCAAGGGGAAAATACGGTGAATAAAAGACAGGGAATCTGGATTTATTCCCATTTTTCAATAGCACTAATGTATGGTCCCTTAATCTTACATATGGTGCTTCGTGTGATGAGTATATAATATTTGTATATGTTATTAGTGCCTTATTTTTTTCACTTGACTTTATTTCTTATCTAAAGAGCCATATATTTTTTGTGAGTGTTCTTTGGTCCTATTTAAAAAGTGCTAGAAAGATAATCTATATAGAATATAACTATATAGAATATAGTTCCCATTTACTATCTTAATCTTGTTTTATCTCTAGAACAGTAAATTAGCCAATGTACTAGAAAAGCAAAGCCATGGACTTAAATTTTATTTTAAAACCATAAGAAAGAATGCTGATTATGTTTCAAACAAGAATTAGAATGGCTATTAGGTCTGTCTGAAGACAAAATTACTTTTTAAAAGCATTAAAAATCAAAATATCTGACAGAATTTGGCCAATTTTTTCTACAATTTGTTTTGAGAACATTTATCAGTGATAGAGTCCACATTTCAGAATCTAATATTCTATATGGATGCTGGAAACCATGCCATTCCTGGTTTAATTGTTTTTACTCACAGTAGACTTTGTCAAGTTTAAGACACTCTGTATAGTCTATTATTTTGCTCTTCTTGAGCTGTGCCTTTCATTTTGCTTTCTACAAAACATGTATTCTTTATGTACCATAGCATATATAATTCAACATTTCCAGATGAATGTATGATGAATGATTAAAACAAATCATGTGCTTAGAAAAGACAAAGGCACAGGGTGTATATGCAAATATGTGTAAATATTTGACATAAACTAAAGAAAAAAATAATCTTCCTGCCAATAGATAGGTCCTGCTGGACAGGACCTGGAAATGAACAGATTTTTTTTTTAAGCAGTGAAATTAAAAAAATCTATTACCTCAAGAGTTTTTGTGGCTGTGTCAGTGTAGTTCTCCTTCTTAGTAAATATTATCTCACTTGCTGCTGATGGTAAAGCAACCCAAGTGTCAGGTCACACAAATTTTAGGGACAATTCTTTCAAAAATGGATACCTGATACTATTGTAGAGTCTAGTTGTGGACTTTAACTAATGTCCCTGTGGTCTTATTATTGTAGGTGGGTTTTTCTATTATTACTAATTATTATCGTTATTGGTTGATTGTTTCCACATGTGACTATGAGATTAGATCTCACCCTGCTTGGATGAAAATTATAGATGGGAATCGAACAATTCTGACTGTTGCTGTGAGCTGTTGTATGGATTACTGTTGAGTGATGTTTACCACATGATGTATGCAGAACATCATGTAATGTCATCTAGTAATGCCTAATAAAACTTTGTAAGAGAGAAGATTCTTGGCTTTTTTTCCCCCTGATAAATAGATTTGAAGTCTAACAAAAGGTAA